AAACTATTACAATTTCTTCCAGGTCAAAAATGGTCTTTTGTCCTGATATGTATTATTATAGTCTTTATACAGACATGTTCCAAGTTCAGTCAGACCAATATTAATTAATCCCATACTAAACCCTATGAAACATTTTGAAAATTCAGAATGTCTCACAGCTTAAAAAGGTCTGAATGCATTAAAGGGTTAAGTCCATGCAGTGTGTTTGTACCCGCGGGCATCATGTGCAGCATTAGTCCGTGAGCTAACAGCATCTGTGCGCTGCGGAGCATGCAGCCCCATCCCGCGTCAGAAGTGAGGGCCGAGCTGTCCAGCGGCGGGAAACCTCTCCTGTAGGTCATCCACAGCAGAGAGGAGAACGCCCGCCGGAAACTCTCCCGCTCTCCTGGGAGAAAAAAACACAAGCTTACAGTGAAAACACGACACAGCGACCCCTCACTCACAGACATAACCGTCCTGTCCTGCTTACCGCTGTAGCTCAGCTGATAGGACTGTCCCAGCAGACACACGGGGCTGCTCTTACTGAGACGCGGCTTGCTCTTCAGAGACCAGCCTGCACAGAAACAGTGTGTCAAGATGACAGATTCATGTTGACAATGTGTGTAGTAGAGCCTGGCTTCAAAATCTGGGTTTAGTGAAACGAGTCGTTTAGTGAGGGAGGAAGGTCAAGGTCAAAACAGTAGAACTATCAAAAGACTACAAATCTATCAGCTATCATTTGATATAAAAAATATACACTACAGTTCAAAATTTTGAAAGAAATTAATACTTTTCTTCATCAAGGACACATTAAATTCATTAAATGTGACAGTAAATACACTTAAAATGTTGCAAAATATTTCTATTTCAAATAAATGCTATTCTACTGAACTTTCTATTCATCAAATAATCAAAGAAAAATTTAATATATCAGTTTCCACTTTCCACAAAAATATTCAGCAGCACAACTGTTATCAACATTAATAATCAGAAATGTTTCTTGAGCAGCAAATCATCCTATTAGAATTATTTCTGAAGGATCATGTGACACTGAAGACTGGAGTAAAGATGCTGAAAATTCAGCTTTGATCACAGCAATAAATTACATTTTACAATATATTCACATTGAAAACAGTTATTTTTATAATGATGTTTCACAGTTTTTGTTTGTTTGTTTTTACTGTATTTCTGATCCTATAAATGCAGCCTTGGTTAGCAGAAGAGTCTTCTTTAAACATTTGAAAAACATTACTGACCCCGATCAGCAGTGTATGTACTGAAAGTTATTTAAAGAAATCAATAGTTATATTCAGTAAGGATGCACTGCACTGATAAAAAGTGACTATTAAGACATCTATAATGTTATAAAATATTTATATTTCAAATAAATGCTGTTCTTTTCAACTTTCTATTAATGAAAGAATCCTGAGAACTGAAACATATCATGGATGGAACTGTTTTCAACATTGATAATAATAAAATGTTTCTTGAGTACTTAAATTGGAAGAAATAAAAATGTTAGACACCAAAAAAAAAGTTTTTATAAAAAACTGACCACACACCTCCATATCTGAGATTATTCCACGCTGAAATGAGTTTTGTTTTGAGTTTGGTCCTGTCCTTTGACTCCTGGACGTGCCCGTCGACGTCTGTGCCCAGATCCAGCAGGCCCGGGTTCGACAGGTTGACCACCTCAAACGACGCGAGGTCATCTGTGGCCTCCATCCCGCTGTCAAACTCATCACTCACTTCCATGATCCGCGGGATACTGTTGCCATGACGTCCGGAGTCCCTGCTGTCCAATCAGAGGAGGGATGCGAGCCGCTCTGGCTCTTCTGGACGTTGGTACAGGTACCAGTGAAGCTGTGGGACAGTGAAATAAAGGCTAATGTGTCACCAGAGGTAGTACACAGCTCTTTAGAGAGAAATACTTAGCCATGTGACACCCATGTGACTGAAGGAATCTTACAAATGTGTCAAAGCAAATGTTAAGCCACATTATAACCAAACTACTATCAAGACACTACAATAATAAAAGTCTTAGATAACTATTATGTGTTTATGCATTAACTACACGTGATGATTTCAGTTTATCTTCATTTTAAAGACGGCATTGTGGCACTACTATGGTAAACTAATGGGAGGTTATGGTACTCTGAGATTTACCATGGTACTGAATGTACATGGCACAGCGTAGTACATACTGTGGTATTACCATGGTACCATGTTCAAATGTACGATATCTCGTAATTATTTTCGAGAAATACAGTGAATTTCAGGTGTGAGAGTGAATTTATACGTTTGTTGTTGACTGAGGTTTGTTGATGCGGAAATCATGTTTATATGTAGATTCACCTCTCGTATAAAAAGACGGGTCACTTTCCGCCAAGAAGGCGACTATATTTGAATGACGTGGTAAAATACTTACCTTAAAGGCTGCTTTAACTGTCATGACATTGTGAATATCGCAAGATTTCAGCTGGAAACTTTCCGCAGTAAGTTACAAACATACCACGACGCCACTGCCTTGATTTCACTGCCTGACTGTAGCTCCGCCCCTTTCCTCCTTCACTCAGAAACGGAGCACGGATCTGTTCTCTGATTGGCTGTCTGGTTCCTCAGCGCTCTCTGATTGGTCAACTGGGTGACTACGTGAGTAGAACTGGGAATGTGCTCATAAGTATTAGCTAGATCAATTTGTGAAACTGTATAATGATCTGCTGAATGGTACATAATTTTTGATTTACTACCTCTGTATTTTTTGTTTTATCTAAAAATTTGTTTTATCTGTGTGGAGACGTGCTGATATCGCGTTTGGTCTCATTCTGTATCACGTATCTTGTCAGTGTCTGCGCTTGCTTGGCCATTTGTTGTGGAAAAAATAAGGAAAGTGTGTTCAAGCGCCAGCAGAAAACAGTGTAAAGAAATACTCTTTGAGAGAAGCAGTCTTTATCAGAGGAAGTTAAAAGCAGCTTGTAAGTGTATTTACATATGGTGCGTTCAAGTCATGTCGGATAGATCGTATTTACGAGTTGAACGCACATGAACGCCACCACAAAGTCGTTATTACGAGTGGGAAGCTCGAAATTTTCTTTCAAGCCCCGAGTTTCCAAGTTGGGGGCGTGTCAATGAGAAACATGGCGGAATCGATGGATGCAACGTCTGTAGTTGATGGTAAATTTTTGTTTAAATTGATAGTTTAGTTGTCCTATAAACTTAAATTGGTCATGTTCTTGTTACACAGCTGAAATCCAAGTAAAAAAATGCAGACCTTGTTGTATTTTCTTGTAATTTATTAAAAGAAGGTACACCGCCATCTTGTGCTGACTAAACTGACTTGAACGCACCTGACGTCGTAATTACGACTTGTCAACTCGTAAGTACGAACGTCCCAGGAGGACTTGAACGCGGCATAAGTCCGGCCATTCGTA